TATATATATATATATATATATATATATATATATATATATATATATATATATATATATATAAATATAAATACCATTTCTGCTGCTTCAGTAGCGAAACAAAGCTGCGAAAGTTTGCTTGTGTATTGTATACACAACCCCATGCACATAAACACACCAAAAAAACAGAAAAAAAAACTACAAAAACGCGTAAATATATATATATATATCTATATATAAATATATAAATATATATAAACATAAATACCATTTCTGCGGCTTCAGTAGCGAAACAAAGCTGTGAAAGTTTGCTTTTGAAGGCCTCACCCCATGCACATAAATACACCAAAAAAACGGAAAAAAAAACTACAAAAACGCGTAAATATATATATATATATATATATCTATATATATATATAAATATACAAATATATATAAATATAAATACCATTTCTGCTGCTTCAGTAGCGAAACAAAGCTGTGAAAGTTTGCTTTTGAAGGCCTCTAAAACTCCGTTTTCTTTTGCGTTGAAAGTGCCGCCGCAACCATCAACAGAAACCCCCATAAAATGCTGACCCGCGTGATGCAAAGCACGCAACTCTGATACTATTGAGGCGCTATCGAGACCTGTATACACAAATATATTTATTTATATTTATTTATAGTTGGTTAGGGTTTTTTTTCTCTTTATTTTGGTGGTTTTAGCTTTTTTTTAGGGTTTATATACACACACAAACAACATACAGTGCTGCCCCCCAGTGATGCAAAGCACGCAACTCTGATACTATTGAGGCGCTATCGAGACCTGTATACACAAATATATTTATTTATATTTATTATTTATATATATTTATATTTATTTATATTTATTTATATTTGTTTAGGTTTTCTTTTCTGTTTGTTTTGGTGGTTTTATCTTTTTTTGGGGGTTTATATACACACAGAAACAACATACAGTGCTGCCCCCAAACCCTCATAAACCCTTAAATATATTTATTTATATTTTATATTTATTTATATTTATTTATATTTATTTATATTTGTTTAGTTTTTTTTTCTGTTTATTTATCTGTATTTATCTTTTTTTTTTGTTTATATAAACACAGCTGCACCGCGGGATGCAGAGAACGCAGCTCAGATACTGTATATATAAATAAATTTATTTATTTATATTTATTTATTTATTTATATTTATGTTTATATTTATTTATTTACT